TAAGCGTAAGAGTTGTGAAATTCGACATGTAGTTCATAAGTGTACTTGTTCAAAACCCTAGGAAAACCCGACGTTTTCCTATCACTTTGCTTTACTTAGTTTGTGTACTGTTATTTCGTTACGTTAGAGGTGTTCGTTGAGCTCCGGAGGCTTATGGGTGGTGAATTGTTGTATACGTTAATGAAAACGTCCAACAACCGTGCTAGCGATCCCTTGTCTCGCAGTTATTCACACAACTCAATCCTCGGACTTGTGTAGTCCCCCGAGGAGAAAAAGTGAAGGTGCGAAACCCTCGGTATTTCCCTACGTCGTTCAAGACCATTGCAATTGCGAAGGGCCCGAAGTCCACCCGCAATCGTGAGTTCCCGACTTTACTAGCAGCACTGAAGGACCCTTGGGGACCAGCAGCATGTTTGCCATTGAAAGTCCTTTTACACGCGGTCGAGTCGTATTAGACCCAACTACATGTAAGCAAGTGTCCTTTGGGCCTAAAGATCATGTTAACGGGCTAGCTAGGCTCGACAAGCATGATTTGCAACTTTTGGGCCTAAGGAGTGTACGTCGACGTATTGAGTAATTCCACGAGAGTAAAGAGTTCCAAGAGTTCCATATGTGTATTGAGCGTTGTAGTGTTAGTAGTTTTGGATTTGTTATTGATTCGAGACCGAATCAATTCGTTTGGTAACGATTGTTGGTGATATTGTGTATTGTAATCCATCGAGAGTCGTAGTGTCAATCTTTGTTCACAACGAGTGTATTGAATTATCATTGAAAATTTTCTGTTTACAACCCCTCTTTATTTTGTAAATTTACTTTTCACCCCTTTAGGTAAAATAATTTCCGGTTTAGTCCTTAAACCATTTTTCTTGACATTTTAACACCAAAAATTAATGAAATTAATATTTTTCAGCATATTTTTCATTGAAAACAGTTTAAGTCCCTGAAATTGCAGTCTCGGTTGTAACCCCTCTTTTTCGCAATTTTTACATTTTTGGCCCAAATTGGAAAATTTTTGCAACTTTGGTCCTTTTTAAATTTGAAAAGCATTTTAAACCTTTGAAAAGTACTTGTGACACTAGTGGTCCATTGTTTTACAGAAAAACACAGTTTTGGCCCTCCAAACAGAAAATTTCGCATAATGGGCTCTATTGGGCCGAATTGTCATTTTTAGCCCATTAAGCTTGAAATTTATGCTTTTAATCCTCCAAATAGTATATTTTCAGAAAATACATTATGGAAACTGTTTTGACTCATCTCACCCA